AGTTCTAAAAATTATCAAGCATCATTCCTCCAAATCTAATAAAACGGCCTCTTTATTTTCTACTTATTTTGAGAGGTACTGTGCTGTCTAATAATACTATATCATCGAAAGTTTAGGTACAAAAAAAAATATCAAGAAAGCGCAAATTAAAAATTTAACCTAAAATCCAAGATGGCGAAGGTAGAGGCCTCCTTTTGGACCTTTTTATTTGTTGGTCCCCTTTTCTTGTTGTTAATATTTTTGAGTAATGTGAGGATCTCTACAATTTGTTCTATCTATCTGTTTTTAGACCTTTCTCTAGCTCTTTACCCTTCTGGTATTCCGTCTGATAAATTTTTTGGCATTTCTTTCCGAGTTCATTCTTAACACATATCCAAACCATTGAATTCCTCTTATTCCTATATTTAAAACAATATCTGGTACCTGATAATAACAATCTTTTTGTTTGTTCCGGTTCAAAGTCCATCCTCAGAAATTGCGCCGAAAATCTACCTTAAAATTTTCCTTTTCCCTATTAAGAAATCTGAATTGCTTTCAGTTAAAGTTCATGTCTCAAATCCACATAACGTAATGGGTCAAATTATAATTTCAGACATAAGAATTTTAAATTTAGATATAATATATCTTGTAGTTTAATGTTTATATATAATGTTATAATAGGAATCCTCAAAATACCTTATGAAATATGCTTATTTTTAAAAAATCGTAAAAATGAGCTACTTTTCTTAAAATTTAAAAACTCATCTTTCCTAAATAACGCCTGCGCTGGCAGCAACTTTTACAAGATCTAGCCAGCACGTCTAGCTTTAGGTCTTCGTAGTGGGAAAGTCTGAAAAGTTTAGTCTTATACCATCACGATCAGTTCGTAATAGGTACATTAAAACTTCATCAGAAAAACACATCATAATAAATAATACCATCAAGAATACTTTATTTAAAGCAAATTTGTGCAAAAGTGCAGCCAGCACGTCTAGTCTTAGGCCTCCGTAGTGGGAAAGTCAAATATATAAATATATATATATATTAATTTCTGAAAAGTTCACACGATTCATAAGTAAAAGTAAAATTCCTCTTGTTAAATGGAACTATTTTTTTATTTTTCTATTTTTCGAATATTTTTTGTGGAATTCTTTCCCAAATAAAACACAGTCAAAAGCCGTTTTTTTTATCCTACAACCAATCATATCGGCAGGATACCAGGATAAGAACAGCTGGAAATATTTCTCAGCAGCTGGTATACCTAAGTAACAGAAATATATAGCTTATTCTTTTCTTGTTGTGAGGCATTTTGATGGTACGGATCCCCACTGGTAAGCTGAAACCACTTTATGTTAGTCCAATTAGAGAAAGAAGCAAAAAAAACGACACTAATACCCATTTAGTACAGAGAAACTTTTAATAGGCATTTTCTATAAACACGATTTGATTTTAAAAAGAATTGTAAATTAAGGGAGAATTTAGTGACATTTTATGGGCAAATTATCAGAACTGTAATAAATTACTTCCAAAATGGTAACAACTGTTTTTTTGTAGCTTAACTTCTTTATTTTGTCAATTCAGCAGCAATTTCATGACTAGCTGCACACTGTAAAAAAGTTTGGATTTAATTACGGTACAAAGAACACCCTGTGTGCAGCATCCATGAAATTTAATGCCATAATTTTCACTGTAATATTTATTTAATAGCTGTGATTGGATATATTACAGCAAAATGTATGGTACATCAAACTTTTTCGTTCCTTAAAACTTTAAGGTAAAAAGCATTTTCCGTAATTTGATCCGTAATTTTTTACAGTGCTCATTAAAGTCCCAGGAAAGTTCTATAAATTGTGTTGCTGCGTTATTGAAAAAGCTAATAACATTTCAAAAATTCGACAAAAAAAAAAAGTGATATCGGAAATGATGCATAAAGACATTCTTTAAAATATCCGTTATTCAGCAACAGTTTATTCTGAAATTTTAGAACTAAAAAACAAAGGCTTATCTCTGTCCGATTTCAAAAACAATGTTTGCAGCATAAAAACCGTTATTAAAGAGGCAAACGGTTGTTTCGTTACTACAGTGTTTCCCAAAGTGTGGTACGCGTACCCCCAAGGGTACGGGAACAGTTTAGCGGGGGTACGCGTTCTTATGCGAAATATCTTGCAACAAACGAAAATTTCAAAAATTTTTATTTAAAAATAAAGTTGGCCATGAAAATTAACGATTACGTATTTTTCTATTGGCTTTTGCAGAATTAACAGTTAATAATTACTGATATCAACAGCCACTTGTGATTTTTAACTTACGAAAAGTAAGTAAGTTTTTTAGTTCAATTTTTTTATGGTAAGAAATACATTCATTTTTTTTATTAGTGGTACACAGCGTTACGAAAAATTTAGAAAGGGTACACAAAAGTCATAAGTTTGGGAAACACTGCGTTACTATAATGAGTATAATAGTACTTCAATTAATTTTATAGCAATTTCAGTATAATGATCAGTAGCTACGCTTTAATGGAAAGTTTGACTTTTTTTTTCTTTCTCCGTTATTGAGAAGAAATTATAGCTCGGCTGACGACATAGCAAAAATCTAAAAGAAAAGTTCATGGCAAAATATAAAAAATGCTGCATTAAACTTTCACATCTGCATTTGTTGCCCGGTGACATTTTATTCTGAAATCTTAGATTATAAAACTAGCAGAAGGAAGAAGGTTTATCTAAGTGCTGTAATAAAGATGAAAGCAACAATTAAAGCACAAATAATATGATTAAAGCAACAATTAAAGACAAGCGATACAATAACAAGTACTATAGTAATAAGTACAAAGAAACAGAAGCGAGAGAAACACAGAACTAATTAGTTTAATAATTATTATTTGGAACTGCGATGGCACAATGGTTAAGGCACTGTGCCATCGACCGACACATTGCTTTAACCACTGTGCCATCGATGTAATGCCGACCTCTTTTCCAACATCATACTGTTCCCATTAACCTCAATGATTCTTCTGGCTCCCAAATTGACTGTTGTTTTTTATTTTAATAATCAAATTGGTTTCGCTTGATTATATAATCGTTATGCACAGTCGGACCTATATTTTACGAAGTCCCTTATTCCCGATAATAAGTTCGTTATATGGAAAATTCGTTAAATAAAAAATCACCTTTTGAAATACTTAAACAACACAAAACAAGTTTTAAATTCATAAACACTAGACATAGTTAAAATAGTAATTGATACACTTTTATCTTGTAAACTAGTATCTCTTATTTATTTTATAAATCTTAACCATAAAAAAAAACTGCATGGAATGCAAGAATAGAGCAAAGCATTATCCAGTGTTACACTATCATGCTTACATTTTCGACTAAAAGAAGCTAAAATTATGTATAAAATTATAGCTGCATTTATTATAAAAATAATTTTAAACATACATAACCATGTGCGTTCTTAAGTTTAATTGCTACTGATGCAATCCGTTAATTTTGAAATGCAAACAAAAAGGGAAAGGTATTTAACGGTTTTCTCTGATAGTTAAGTGGCTTCGAAAATCAATTTAAGGTCATTTTCCCCTTAAAATCTATTAACAAGTTTGAAATGTTCTGAAATATTTTGGGAAATAGGGAAAGTGGACCCGAAGAAATTTCCTTAAATTTTATTTGAAAGTTATTTTACGAAGAAATTTCCGAAATGCTCTTGGTTCCTCGAAAAAAAATCGCAAAATAGATAAATTCGTAAAATGGAAGTTCGTTATATAGAAGTCCAGCTGTATTTCTCTAACAAAATATTGTAGAAAATTTTAATTTCTGGAAATCATTTAGCGAGATTTCTTAGATCACCAAATTTAATCAATTTATACCTATTTTCATAGTACCTACCTCAGATATTTAATGGCAATAATAAATAAGTTTATTACCGTTATATTCATCTATAAAAGAGGCTTAAATTTAATAATTCATCAAGAAATGTAGGTGTTACATTTTATGTGTTGGCAATTTTTTCTTTTAATTACTAGTTTTTATTGTCAATGAATTGTCAAATTGAGATGTTTATGAGATATAGAGATGTAAATGTGAAAGAATCTAACACGTCTATCTAATAAAACAGTGCTGCTATAGATATAATATGTAGCAACAATTTATAGTGTGGAAGTGGAGTGATTGAAAACTTTTATACAAAACTCTATAACATGCACATAAATAAAAGAATATATCTAGAACTCTAAAAATCAAAACAAAAAAAATTCTAGAAAATTATCTCAATTATATTAATTATTTAAGAAAATTATATTAATAGTGATATTTCATAATTATAATTAATGAAATATCATTATTAAATTTTTTACTCACATATTGAAAATCTTTAAAGTTAATTTATTATCAAATAGCTTATTATTATATATGTAATATGGAGTTGATACAGTTTATTTCTTTCCGAGTGTTAAATTTAATGTTCGTACAATTAATTATATTTTACTTGCACATTTTATAAATCATTTTAATTTAAAGTTATCATACTTATTATAATCACACACAAAAAATACCCCAACCGCGACAGATTCCATTTCATTTCATTTTTAAACACAACTCCTTTAAATTTCTTTTTAGTTCTGAAGGTTAAGTATAAGAATAACAAGTGATCCTATTTAATGTTTTATAAAAACAACTATAAAACTCAAGCTATTTTTGGCATTGTGAATGAAAACAACAAATGAACTCATGTCAATATTTAACTTTTGTGGTCTTTTCTTAAAAAAAAAATACTTATTAAGAATTGGTGGCTCAGAGCTATTCTACGATTGCAAAGGGTTAAATTTTACTACGTTACTCGATGTTTCAGATCTTAAATAGTGTACATAAATAAAGCAAAACAAACTCTTCTTTAAATGCAAACGCAAAAAACAACCTGCTAATCTTCAAATCATAATATCAACGCTTGACAGTAAGTCGTAGTTCCTCTTTTTTTCCCCCTCTTCAACTATAACAATCCAAGCTCATTACTTCTATATTTTTTTACAGGTTTTGAGTGTCACAGATGGTGAAGATAGGAAGCAAAAAGGAACACAAATATTCAGCCACTCTATAACGCCAACACACCCTCTAAGTTACAGCACATCGCCAAAATCCATCTGAAGAATGCGCCGACACGAAATTTCGCCCATTGACTCCTGACCTCCGGCACCCCCTTCTAGCCAGCTCTTCTTTCCAGTTTGGAATCTGTATCTGTTGGTTGGAGGGTGAGGTTCAAGTCCAACCACCCATGGAGATCCAGAGAGGAAAAAACACAGTACCGTTCCATTCTTTCAAAGACAACAAAAAGGGTGGTAAAACCTTTGTAATTGCGCATCACTCATTGCTTGGTTGCGAATGGATTGTATTGCGTGTTTAGAAAGTGCACGCATTGTAGTTTTTTTCTTTTTTTTAAACAACGACGACAACTTGGTGCTCTCTCTCAGAAGTAATCCTTTTGTTTTGAAAATGTTTTAACTCAGTTGTATAATTACAGTCTGGTGGAATGTTTAAAACAAAAATTTGGTGGATGATTACAAACGATTACGATTTGAACGAAATTGTTTAATTTAAACGTCGTTCGTATGCTGTTGAATGGCAAAATTATGCTGTTGGAACGACAATGACAAATGTGTGAAAATTATGTAAATTAGGCAAATTGATTACAAACGATTAAGATTTGAACGAAAGTGTTTAATTTAAACAGCATCTTTTAAATTAAAACTTTATGAGAGAATTATGCTGTTGGAATGACAAAAATAAATATATGAAAAATTGTGTAAATTAGGCGAATGATCACAAACGATTAAGATTTGAACGAAAGTGTTTAATTTAAACGTCATTTATATGCTGTTGAATTACGAAATTATACTGTTGGAATGACAATAACAAATGTGTGAAAATTGTGCAAATTAGGCGAATGATTACAAATGATTAAGATTTGAACGAAAGTGTCTAATTTAAACAGCATCTTTTAAGTTAAAACTTTATGAGAAAATTATGTTGTTGGAGTGACAAAAATGAATATTTAAAAATTGTGTAAATTAGGCGAATGACTGAGAACGATTACGATTAGTACGAAAGTGTTTAAGCAGCGTCCTCCACACATGCATGGTTTAGTGGACGTTTAGTGGAGTACAAAAATAAACTAAGAAAATTCTCATCACTAATTTCATGCTTGCAAATAATATTTAATAATTATGTATGATATCTTATTTTATAATAAGTTTTAGAAGCATTCTAAATTAGTTTTTGAAGTCAATTTTAATTTTGTTAATTTCGCATTCATCTATGAGATATTTTTCTGGGTTTTATTATGGAAGAATTAAATAGTTGATGTTAAAAAAAAGCACGAAAGATAAATACTGATAGATATCGACGATCTAAAGATAGTCTGAATCTCATACATTCTTTTAAAAATTTATTTTTTTAAACTCATTTCAAAAAGTTATATAGTCTACTTATCATGCAAATCAAGAAAAAACATAAGAGGTATACCAAAAAAACTTAAAGGTTCGTAAAAAGAAAGGGCGTAGAGGAATTTTTTCCTGTAAGGAACTTGGTTTATTTTTGTATCTTTTATCGTTTGAAGTAGAGCTGTTGCCATAAAATAAAAGTATCTGATAACACAGTTCAGCTCTATTAACAAGAGTGTGCTATTTATTCCACGTATAGTTACTTCTATAACCTTTCTTCCGCCCTCACTTTCAGTAAAAAAAAAATGTTCGAAGTTGAGAGGTAATAGTATGAAGAGGTGGAAAAAGCAGAACATTATCCACAGCTAGTTTTAAGGGTCGACAATAAATTCTGAAACGGAAGCATCTCAACGAGCTGTAACGCCCACCCCCTTTTTTTTTTAGAATAGCATTATTAACTTTTCCTATTATTGTAAACATTTATTTTCGTCTCTGAAGTGAATGGATTTACATATTCGATGCACATGAAAAGATTTTTAGTTTTTGGACTATGGAACATAAAAAGAAACGTAAAAAAAAATGGAGATGAAGAGCTGTTGAGTTAGCATGTATACAGTTCTCACTTTTATAAAGAAATAGAGAACATAACGTGGTGATAAATAGTGCATGTTATGCTATAAAAGAGCTAAATATAGAGAGTAACTACAAGCATTTTTACTGATGCATTTTTTAATGCTGATTTATAAGAAGGAAATATCAAGCTCTTAAATAAAGAAATAAAACTAAACATTTTGTGTATTGAAAGCAATAAGAATTATTTCACTGTTGTGTAGAACATTTAAAGCACAGATTGTAACACAATAATATTATTCAGCTTCTTTAAATAATTAACGCATATTAATCATATATTTTAGGGCAAACTTTATAGTTAAGGTATTTATGATACATTTGGCTTACAAAAATATCTGGATTAATCATATTAGATAACAATAGTTGAAATGCTGTTAATTTATTTAATATTCGGTGATACTATTTTATGTGCATTCGTCAAGAATTATCGGAACTCATTTTTTTTGGTAATTCCATCTCAAAGCTGTTCTACTTAGAGTGCAGCAAAGATAATACTCTACGAACAAGCTTAATTCTTATTAAACTTAAAATTTGATAGCGTCAGCACAAGGAGAATAAACATGTAAGTGTCAGTGTGCTCTAACAATCTATCTTGGTGACTGTCCGATTTCACGCTCAAGTTTTAGGATTGAGATCTAATCTAGGAGTGAGCGCAGATTTTGTGTCGGCGAACGAAGCCCTAGATCGACAAGTGAAGTGTTCGAACTTAGTAAAGCTTCAGAGGAGATTTATAATAGAAGCCGTACATTTTTCTTCCAAAAGGCGTGCGCCGGCGCTTTGCCTTCTTAAACACATAAAAAGGCGACTGACGAAACGTGCTGGATACGATTCACTTAGCTTTTGCCACGGTCGTGACAAACTGATCGTGATACTATCTGCCTTTAGAGTTCGTCAAACTATTCCATCGTGCTTTTACTTCTGGGTTTCTGATATCGTTTTCTCCCGCCAAATAAAATAAAATTTGAAATTCAATTGGAACAAAAAACATTCATATTTTCTTTATTACTTGACTGAATAAATATCAATTGGCGACAGAGTGTGAAAATATGACTAATATTCCAGCCTAGCTGGTGCTTATTCCTTTGTTTGACATGCAGTGTCAATGATGTAATAAAACATACCTTCAGGATATTACAGCTGTAACAAAAGTATTGAGAATTTCGACAGAAGGTACAAATTATTTTATAAGGGAGATAATAAGTAGAAAATGAATAACATTTATTGTGCGGATATGATTTATTTTAATTTTAATTATGATCATGTAAGCCCATCATCATGTCAACTATAAGTGCCGAACCATCAACCTCACCAACGCCCTCCACTCACAAAGTGAATGGCGGTATTAACCAAAGACTCAACATCAGCACTCTTAGCTCATCCATTTCTAAACATCACCACACAGTTATCACACCAACACCAGTTGCTATGATAGGACATAGCTCGACGCCTGTGCATGCTACTGCTCAGAGCACCAGTACCATGGGCCCATCCTCTATCGCAAATATCACTCTCAACAGCAACGCCACTGCCAAGCCTTTGTTAGATATATCCAGAACTAGTATCCATCCTGGTTCGGTACTTGATACTTCGAGAAGGACTCCTAACATCACTCTTAAAGATGATGTCTCAACTAATGAAGAGCATGAGAGGAGAGCTATTTACCAAATGCTAGCCTCTTTAGCTCTTCTGTGCATCTTGAGCCTTCTTATGTCTTTTTTGGCATTGTTTTTTCTTCAAAAACTTGGACCCATGATGAGTGCTGTTCAAACGATTGAGCCGCCAACTGAGAGACCGTCTCTGAAATCGGCGGCAGTAACTAAGGTACCTCCCAGAAAAATAATAGTCACTTCTGAAGAGTATATGACAGTTTACCAAGTATCTGTGGCGCTGAGTACCTTAACGATATCTCTAGATTTGTGTTGCTTGTTCGTCTGCTGCATACAGTTTCTTTTTGCTATAAAGCTCTTAAAGGCACCTCAAGGTGATGAAAGGTAAATATATTTATGTTTGTTTCTGTGATAAATCGTTAATTTGGCAAATCGTATTATTTCAAATTGATACACTAATGGCTAAATGTTTTTAATTAAAAAGCTGTTTGGCTAAATATATTAATTAACATATATAGTTTACATTCAGTATTCTTCATATGTTGAATAACATTCATTTTTCATCTAAAAAAAGGTTGAATTTCCAAGTTTAAAAACATTCTACGTAAGCTTTTTTTTTTTAAAAAAAAGGCAACTTTTACGATAATAATACTTTTTGATTTTCGACTACTACTATAATTTTTTTAAGTTAAAACTCAACAAAACGCACCTTAGCATTTCCATCTCATCAGCAATTAAAAAGCGATTTTCGAACTACAGTGACCAAAAACGACATGTAAATAAACAATTTTGTGCTGCATTATATAAAAAAAAATCACAAAATCCCGATGATTCTCTACGAATATGGTGTAATTTTTATTACAGTTTAACATACGATACATACAGCGGAATATGGATCTCAATGTTCTACTTCGTGACCTTTTGAAATTTTGTACCCAACCTGGAACACTATGGAACTCATTAATCAAGCATTTGGCTAACTTACCTTCGTGGAAATATTTTTTATTTAAACTAAACGGTTGACTCAGCGATAAAGAAATGGTAAGTCGTGACTTATCATCAGTACAGCTGTCATGAGACCTTCACCTAACTGAAAGTCTGAGGTAGTCTTTAGTTACTGAAACAGGAATAAAACCATTTCTAATGAAGTTTCAAGCAAAAAGAAATGCTTAACTCCATTGCCCTAATCATTTTTTTTCTCGTTACCATAGTAATCGCCAGCAATCCAGTCTGGTGTCTGGAGGAGTTCTTGAGATAGTCGCATAATACCATTGGGGATATTTTGTGCTAGCTCTGTAGTCAATGTAAGCAGGAAGCGATGGACAAACCATGACGTACTATTATTCGAATCTATCCATGAACGCCTAGTGACAAAATAATCAGTTATCTATGGAGTTCAAAACTGAACTGTTTTAAAGAAAGTACTTCTTCCCGTAGACGTATAATTTGTGTTACCGAAGAAAATGTCAAGATTCGAACCAAGGTCGCCTGTCTCAGAGAAATTATTCGTAGAGGCGAATAAAAAGTACGCTTATCTATAAACTCACAACTCAAACGTGTCACCCATTCTCTTAAATCACTAAGTTTAAGGTAAGCTAAGCTTATAGCTCTTTATTATCTGTAAATGGTTTCCCAATGAGAGAGCTATCGCCCCTAAGAATTTTCGATTGGCACTAGCAAGATTATGAGTTTTGAGGAGGGTTATGGATCTCTATAAAATTGTTAATAGACTGTAAATGAAATTAGTATTAAATACAGATTAAAATTCATAAATTATTTGGTTTGATATCAAAGAAATATTTTCATTTCTAACTCAGCATATAGTATTTGTTATTAAAGCAGTTTAAGTAGTTGTTATTAATGTTATAAAAATGCTTTTTAACGATAAAATATCGAAAATCCAATTTTACGCGATTTTATCAATGGTCGGCACCATGATCTTTGTGTGAATTGGAAATATATGTGCCCCTGTAGCTTCTTTAAACTACCCCTAACATGCTGACATATTTTTCAACTTAATAAAGCAGGCATGTTTTTTTATTTAAAAAAAGTGTCTGAAATTTAATTTGTAACAACTGTAAAGTATTTAAGTTTTCTCTCACTTTAAAGTTGAAGTTTTGTATACATTTTTTAAGTTAATTTATTTGCAAAATATACGTGTTTTCTTCCTTGTTTAATAATTCGAAGGGGGGGATAATCAAAATATAATTATTTTTGTATTTGTTTCGATTTAATTTAACTTTAATTAAATTTGATTTAATTTTTATTTAACTTTTAAATATGCTTCACCCAGTATTAGCTGTACTAAGAAACATAAGTGTTGGATTGCAGAGTAAAACTGACGGTATTCAGAATCGACATACCTTACTTCACAATTTTTAATAATACATAAAAAAAATAATTAATTAAATATATTATTTAAGCTGTGAAACTGATATGTTAAATTTACTTTTATGCAATTAATTTTATGTCTTAGTTATTTTCATCAAAATTAGTTTATAAAATGTTTTCTATTCAAATATATTGGTCATCGGGTATATTTTCAATACCTTAACCCTTTGACTACCAATTTTAAAAAATGATTTTTTTTTGTCCCGTTTATTATTCAAAAGAACAAAATAGGTCACAAATAAGGAAAATTTAGTATTTGGGATTTTTCTGACAAGCGGTTATCAATTTAGACGCTGGGACATATATGTCCCGGCCGTAATTAATGGTGGGATACATACGTCCATAAGTAATTTTTAAACATTTGTTGGGACAAATGAGTCCCGTTAGTAGCCAAAGGGTTAAAGACATGATCATAGAATTGTACACTGACAAAAATGTTTAAATACTTGAAATGGGAAGGAAAAAAAAATTATTAATTTAATATAATTACTATTGTTATTTTAGTTTATTTATTTAATTTTATTTTGATTTATTTCATTTTTTTAAATTTTTTTTGTGTATTTATTTATTTTTTAGGGAAGTTGCTAATTTTTTCAATTGCAAAGTGTACGGTAATTTAAAAAAAAGGTTGGCAGCCTATGCACTTACAAATCAGTGCTACTGATTCTTCTAAATATTTTTTTTTATTAATTTGGTGATAAATTTTGTTTCTCAAAAAATTCGAAAAAAAAACTGTATTCTGATAAAACCGCGTGGAATGTTTACGGCTTTAACTAGTAAAATGTAGACATATTTTTAACATAAATTTTGAAACTACTTAAACGGAATTATCTTTTATCCGTCAGTTTTTTCTAATTTCTTAAACATATCGCTTTCCTTCTGAAAAAAAATTCTTTGTTAGTGAATGAACAATATTTATCATTTGTAAACTCGTGAACTGCGTTTTTAGTTTATTAGTATTAACCTCGTGTCCGGCTGACCTAGAAACGGTGCCAAGGTCGATCCACCTTATTAACTTTCTCTTGAGAGAAAATTACGTGTGTTACCGTCATCTTCAAACACGGTATCCCATTTAGTTTTGTCTTGATGACCTTATTGATTCAGAAACAATGTTATATCTCCTTTGCTACGTTACAAAAAGCAGTAATTTTTAAATTTAAGATAAAACATAATTATTATAATGTTCATTTTTATTAATATGCAGAGCACGACATTTCCCCTCAACATCTCGCCATCGGTGATTAAGTTTAAAGATTTAAAATTTTGAGTTTTATATTCTATATCAGGGGTTTCCAACTTACATGAGGCCGGGGACCACAATTGAAAACACAAATCAAATGGCGGGTCGCAACTTCATCAAAATTTTATGTAGGACTCTTTTATGTTTGAAAGAGCATTAAATATTGCTGTCAGATTTTTACAAAGTTGTACAAAACAAAAGCATTGAATTACAAATTAAAATAAGAGGTAAATTTTTAAAAATATTTAATTGAATATTAAAAAATTCGGGCTACAATAACTTTAATGNACTCCCTCTATGAAAAATGATAAGAAAGAGAAATATATATTTTTTTAAATAATATATTATATTTTGATAAAATCAATTTTTACATAAATCTATGAGAGGGATGTGCTTGATGACGCAGCGTTCTTCCTGAGTTTTTTTTAGAAAAGCGACCCGCCCTGCCTGCCCTTTGATCCCTATTAATGCGCCCTCTTTGCCCTTTTTGTAAAAATAAGCTGCCATTCTTTAAAATCACTGCCTTTTTATTCATAAGCCCTTTTTAAGATAAATTAATTTACTGTTAAAAGAATAATTAAGCATAAAAATTATCTGTGCTTTTAGGTTTAATTTTACGTTTTGCCTATTTCTTTATAGCTTGAAAACTTTTTAAGCGAATTGAAAAAAATTTGCCAAAATTATAAAATTTATTTAAGCAAAGGATAATTCCATTAAAAAAAATAACTTTAAGTAAATATTTATGATTTTATTTAATAATTGTTGAAAAAAATTTGAATTGTACCCAATTTTTTACATTATTTTGAAGAATGTAACTTTTCATGGCAAAATACGAAATTTGATCAAAATCGGTCGAATAGTTCCTGAGAAATCGAATTTTAAAAATGACTTTTTTAAAATTCGATTTGAAGACAAGACAAATTTTTGGGCTTGTGCTGCTTTGTTATGCTTGTGCTTTGATTTTGTTATACTATTTTTTAATGCATACATCTTCAAATTGATTTTCAACTGAGTTTTGTTTAAGAATATGATTGTCTTTCATTCTAAATAGTAAAAAATAATGATTTATGAATTTTTTTTATTTATTTTTTTGTGGCGCAAAATTGACACTGTGTGTAAAATAACTATTGACCACTTAATTTTTCGCATTAAAATGGACTCAATTAAAACTTTTCTGACTTTCCGGAAACATTTTTTAAATTCAATCTAAATCTCATTAAATTCTATTAAACTATGTTATTTTATATTAATTTAATTTAAAAACGGAAAAACTATTTTTTGGCGTGATTTTACAGGTCAAAGACCATAGATATGAAACACATTTTTTTTAAAAATCTTAATAATAACAAAGCAGATACTGAGTCACATCAAAATGGCTCAAAACAGAATAACATTTTTACTATTGTGTCATTTGAAGAAATTGGTTCCTTTTTCCGCAGGCCATCAACAAAAGCGAAACTAAAAATTAAAAAGGAACAAAGAAGGGAATGATAAGTAAAGCTTGTTTCTAAAAGAACTTATTCAGTATTTCATTCCTCTTCTTAAGGGCGTTGCTTTAAATATGATTCGACAATATAAAAAAACTTTCTTTTGTAATCTCTTTAATAACTAAACCAACAAAAGCAGCGTTCTTATAAATGACTCAACATAAGGTGGTAACATTTGAGGAGACACTCTTTAATTTCAGCATGAAATAAGCAATATCGTTTTTCTTTATAATTCATTCGTATTTTTTCTTAAGCTGCAAACATTA